ACATGTTGGAGCTTTCATGGGAACTCATCTGGGGCGAGGTGATCAGTCTGGTTCTCGAGGGAGGTCGGTCAGGCCAATTCTCGAGGACGTGGTTCGTATTCCGGGCTCATCAGTCTAGTGCCGTTTATACCATTGATTCTAATTTACTCGTCTGTTACCCAGCTTCTGATACTGAGCTGGAGGTGCTTTGCGCCCAATTGTTGGACCGCGATCTTCTACTGCTCTCAGTACCGCTTCCTCTCCTTTGCCCGCTCAGTAACTTAGCATCTTCTCCTTGGTGCTTTTCCTGTTCATACATCTTTGCCCTTGGATTATGATTCGTGGTGCCTCAGATCATATGTTGGCTCTCTAATCTTTTCTTGCCTATAAGCCCTCTTTTTAGGTCAGGACAAAGTTAGGATTGCCGATGGAACTGTTTCTTCTCCCATTTCTGGAAAGGTTTAGTCCAAGTCATCCTACCATTTACATCTATCTTCTGTTCTTCCATGTTTCCCAAGTTTTCTATTAATCTGTTATCTTAAGCGTTCTTACCTAGGATTTGAATTGTTGTGTGACGGTTTTTTTCCTGATCCATTGTCTTTTTCAGGGACCTTGTCACGGGAGGACGATTGGCAGTGTAGTTGCAGAAAATGGTCTCTACTTTCCTAGATCAACCGGAAAAACTTGCTATTCTTTCCACACGTCTTCTACATACCCCTCGCTGATGTATGGGGGGGAATGTGGCATCGGCTCTTGGGCATCCTCATTTCATTTACTTAAGCTTTTTATTTTCCTTCAGTTCGCAAATTCATCATGTGTCTGACTTCTTGTGAGTTCTTGTCAACTTAGAAAAACCAACATAGAAGCTTCTTGTTGCTCCAGTTTTTGGAATAAAAAGCTTAGTTCCTTTGTCATTAATACATCTGATTGTTTGGGGTCGCCTCTCGTGTTCTGTCTGTTGAAAGGTTATCGCTGGTTTGTTACATTTATTGATGATTTTTCTCGTGCTACTTGAGGTTTATCCTCAATGAAGATAAGAGTTGAGGTTTTCTCTGTGTTTCGCACTTTTCAATAAGATGATTTGTACTCAGTTTTGGGGCCCACTATCAAAATATTTCTTCTTGATAATTGGCGGGGAATACATAAATTCTGGGTTAGGACAAATATTTCATCTACTCATGGCATTATCCATTAGACCTCTTGCCAACCAATACCCCTCAACAAAATGGGGTGGCGAAACGCAAAGAATCGGCATCTTTCTTGACATGGGCTCGTGGCATGTGTTTTTTTTAATGAATGGCCTCGACCCCCTATTTGGGCGACCTGTTCTCAGCCACTGCCCATTTCTTATGTAATTCTCTGTCCCTACCCAGGTCTTTGGACAAACAGGCTCCCGCTTTCACGTCCTTCCTCGGTTCTCAGTCCTTGGTTGTTTCTATCCTCCCAAATTATTTTGGGTGTGTCTGTTTTGTCCATAATCACTTCTCCCTCTCGTGGATAAGTTTGGACCCTCGGCTCCCTCAAGTGTGTTTCCCTTGGTTACTCTCCACTCAAAAGGGATATAATGTTACCAACCATTCTTCTCGTAAGGTGGTTTGTGTCCATGGACGTTCACTTGCTTTTGAGTCCCAGTCCTATTTCTTGTCCTCTCCGGTGTCACCGTCCCCTCATTTTCCGGGGGAGCCTTTGGTAGTTGAAAGTGGGTCCTGATGCCTCCTATTGGTGTAGACGTGAGTCCTGTGCCTCCTATTGTAGAACCAGTTGCTCTTGCACCACCCTCTACTACTGTGCTTCCTATGGTGGAATCAGTTGTTCTTGCACTTCCCATCTTCTACTGAACTATAGAACCCCACTGTTCACCAAGAATAAGGATGGGCATGTTTATGTCCGGGAACATCGACAGAAACAAGTTAACTGGATACACGGAACTGTTTCTGTACTCCACTGCCATCTCCTGCTTCTGATGAGAGCTCTAGGTTAATTTTGAATCTCGTGAGTCCATGAGTCTTGATGTTCCTATTTGCAAAAGGCAAGGTGTGTGAGATCTGGTACTCAACATCCTTATCTCACAGTTTTTATCATACTTTCTCCCCAATTTGCTTCATTCCTCATATAGAGCATTTGTGTCCAATAGTTCCTCTGTTAGTATCCTAACCATTTTCAGGATGCTCTTGCTACTCTGAGTGGAAACGAGCCATGATTGAGGAAATGAAAGCACTTAGGAAGAATTGGCACTTTTGGGAATTGACTGACGTTACCTACGGGCAAACACCTGTGGGCCTGTAAATGGGTATTATACTGGGTGAACACAAAGCAGATGGGTCTATTGAGCGTTACAAGCTATGGAAGCATGGACACCCAAAATTGGTCGCCGTGCGTGTCCGACACGCGGACACGCGGGGACACGGGACACGCCTCCGACACGTACGGGACACGCCAGATGGCGTTGTCCCTTTAATTAATAATTTTTTTTGGAAGGGGACACGGCGGGGACACGGGTGGGGACACGCGTGTTCTCCATCTGGACACGCCATGGGACACAGCGGGGCTGTTTTGGAATTTTTTTATTTATGGGGCGTCAAGTATTAATATTTTATCAAGTTTTTAAAAAAAAAAAAAAAAAAAGGGGCAAAAGCCCTAATCGAACGAGTAAAATCAGCCTTGCGAAAGAGCTTGTTTTCTCTCAGTCGAAAGCCTTCTCCAAGTCCGATCGAACCTCTCTTCTCTCAGTCGCAGCCCTCAAAGTCCATCGAAGCCCTCCGAAGGTCCATCGAAGACCTCCGATCCAGTCGTCTTCAGTCTCTGTTTTCAGTCCATTGCCAGTCGGTTCTTCGACCTCATCCAGTTCGTCTTCGGAAGGTAAGCCCCTGTCGCCTCTTTCTTCTTTCTCTTTCGCCTCTTTCTCTTTCACTCTCTCTCTCTCTCTCTCTCTTTGCTCTGGTTTCGACTCAGACTCAGATGAGATTGATTTTTATTTTTTATTTTATACGCGTTAAAGATTTATATGGTAAGATTTTAATTGATTCTTATTTCTCTTTTTATTGTAGACTGATGAATCTGATTTTGATGCAGGTGATTTTTTATTTCTCTTTCTGTTCTTTTCTTTTTTTTTTTTTTTTGTTTTGATTTTCATTTGTTTATATGTTATATAACATATATGTAGACTTTTTTTTTTTTTGTTAATTTATGTTTATATATATGTATATATTAAAACTGTATTTAATAAAAAAAAAATTATAAGTTTATATATATACCATGATTATACAGGTATTTTAACTATTATTGTTATATTTTTTTATTATATAATTTATATAATAACTATTATTATAGAATAATACTTATAAGATAATATGTAATACATATATAAGTTAATATATACTTATTAATAAATAAATAAATAAACACATATATGTAAAATAAAATAAAAAAAATTAATTGGGAACACTTATTTAAAAAATATAATAAAATAAATAAAATGATTAATTGTGCATTAAATAAAAAATATTTTAAAAAAAAATTTAAAAAATTTTGCCGTGTCCCCCTGCCGTGTCGTGTCCCCTTTTTTAGAAACTGCGTTGTCCCCGTGTCCGTGTCCGTGTCCGTATGCGGTTCCGTGTCCGTTGTCCGTGTCCGTGGCTTTCATAGGTTACAAGGCAAGACTTGTGGCAAAAAGGTTTACCAGACATAGGCATTTGATTATCAGCGAGACCTTCGCACCCGTGGCTAAAATGAATTTAGTCAAGTACTTCTCTTCTCTAGCACTAATCTAGATGGCCGCTTTATCAGTTTGATGAGAATCTTTTCTCCATGGTGACCTCGAAGAAGAAGTATATATGGACATTCTTCCGGGTTTTGAGGATCATCGAACAGAAGGCAAAGTATGCAAACTTCGGAAGTCATTATATGGTCTTAAACAGTCTCCAAGGGCTTGGTTTGAGAGATTCACTCAGGCTATGTTTAAATATGGGCTTCAAACAAAGTCAGGCAGATCCACATTGTTTGTGAAACATTCCTCATGCGGTAAGACTACAGCACTTATTGTTTATGTAGATGACATAGTTTTACAGGCCAAGATATGGGGAAAATACCTCTGTTGAAGAAATATTTAGCCAAAAAAGTTTTGAAATCAAAGACTTGGGAAGCTTGAAGTATTTTTCTGGGAATTGAAGTTGCTCGCTCTAAGGATGGGATATTATCCACAAAGAAAATTATGTGCTTGACCTGTTGAAGGAAACTGGGAGCTTGGCTGCAAGGCATGTGCCACCCCACTGGAACCCAATCAGCAATTTGGGGGATGATGAAGGAGGAGAAGTTGTGGATAGGGGGAGCTATCAACGATTTAGTGGGTAAGCTCATTTACCTATCTCACTCCTGTCCTGATAATTGCTGTTGCTGTCAGTGTAGTTAGTCAGTTTATGCTATGCTCCTCATCAGATTCACTTTGAGGCTTGTTCATGAGAATCTTTGAGGTATTTGAAGTCTGCTCCTGGTAAGGGTCTGTATTTTTCAAAGTCATGATCATCTTCGTGTAGAAGCCTATTCAGATTTGCTGCTGGGCTGGGTCAGTAACTGATAGGAGATTCAACTTCAGGGTATTGCACATATTGTTGGCGGCAACCTAGTTACTTGGAGGAGTAAGAAACAGAATGTTGGTTGCCAGGTCAAGTGCAGAAGCTGAGTTTAGAGCTATGGCACAAGATGTGTGTGAACTTTTATGGATTCAAATTATTGATTGAGTGATCTAGTATTGCTCAGACGGACTCCAGCGGTTATACTGTTGATAATTAAGGCCGCCATCAACATCGCTCACAATCCAGTTCAACATGACAGGACAAACATGTTGAGATTGATCGCCACTTTCATTAAGGAGAAACTCACTAGTGGTACCATTTGTACTCCTTTTTCCAGTCTGTGTGAACAACTTGCTGACATTCACCAAGGGAATTGGCGAATAAACCATTTTCATGACATATTAGGCAAGCTGGGCATGAGAGATATCTTCGCACCAACTTGAGGAGGAGTGTTGGCATATTATATTCGCCGAAAGTCACTTAGCATATTATATTAGCCGAAAGTCACTATGGTCTGTAATCATTTTTATGCCTTGTAAACCCTAATCTTCATTTATAAATAAGGGGTGATATCTCATCATACCCTAAGCTGGTTACTCAAGCTTCATCTTTTCCACACAATATCAATCTATATCAGCCTTGCATCAACATAGGCAGCCAAAAAACAGTCCAGTAAGATTTACCACTTTAACGAGATTTGCTCCCTCCCTAAGTCCCAAACCCTTGATCTCCCCAGGGGCTTTAGCAAATGGTGCAACTGCTGGATCAACACCCTTCCTTTCCATTGTAATGAGACCCTGCATTTAAACCAGTACTTCTCAAAAAAAGATGAATCAAAAGTCAAGTGGGTGATTCCCTGAATATGTAAATGAAACGATAAAGTTCAGATTGCCATATTATGAGTTTTTCTTCTCATTCCAATGCAGATTCATTCCCACGATTCATTCAGTTACATGCAGATAAGTAATTGATTATCATTACTTTGTAAAAAAGGTTAAATTTAGTTGATAACACTAAAAAAAAAATTTTAAAAATTTCCTTTACAAATATGTTAAAACATATGTTCTCCACATTTTATTACAAGATAAATACCCAGTAACTCAAAATAAAGGCTAATATGGTAATTGACATTAAGAACAAAAAAGTTAGAGAGCAAGTAATATCTATAGAACCACACATCTTTATTGAGTAGGAACAACAGAGGATTTGCTTCAGCTCCTGCCATTCTTGAAACAGCCTGTGCAGCCATGTTAAAAACACCAAGCCCTGCACTGAAAGACAGAAAAAGTCAGTCAATGGTCGATCTCGTGCCCTTACAGTTAAACCAGGAGTACAGCCATTACAGTTGAATTTCATCATTACCTTCCAGCTCCAACTACAACTATCTTTTGGTTCACAAAGTCAATCCATGGTTGATCTTGTGCCCTTACAGCTCCAAGCAGTCCTGCCAGTGCAACACCAGCAGTTCCCTATACAACATGATGACAAGTGACAAAAATGTCATTATAATAGAGTCACCCTTAACAATCTTAAAGTACTTTGCCTTATTATATTGTTTACTATTTCCATGGAGAATAGCAGAATACAACACCAAGTATTCACCTGTATGTCATTATTGAACATGCAGAAACTTTTTTGATACTGTTGCAGTCTTTCGAAAGCCCACTTCATTTGAAAATCCTGAAACTGATAATATTCGCCAAACATCAAGTAATCAGTATGATATTGGTTACACATCAAACAAGAAGTCATATTTCTGAAAGAACTAAACCTGCACAATAGCCTTGGGCCAACAGGCGAGAATTGCCTCCATAAATTCATCAACAATTGATAGATACTCCTCTCCTTCCAACCAAGGTTGCCGAAGTCCCAAATCTATCAAAGTAAAATCAAGTGAAAAATAAATCCTCACGAAGTTTGTTGGAAGAAATGGGTTTACAAGCAGTTATGTAGTCTACTTACTCTGCTTAAAGACTACAAAATATGGAGAGCGAAATAGAGTATATTCAGCATAAATGAATGTTAGGAATGGATAAGCATGAATGAATTTCAATGTTTAAAATTGTTGGAAGTCCAACCAAAGGTGTAAGCAATGAAATTTAACAAGGGAAATCCTACTTCATACAAGTAAATAGTCACTATTTTCAAATCTGAGAGGTTCATGATGTCTTTTTTACAAAATGAGAAAATTATGAAAATAATTGACAAGAAACAATTGTAAACAAGAAAATATTAGACTTGAAACCTTTGTGATGATGGAATTTAAATGGAAATCAATATTACAACACATGGAAGTATAGCCTTTTTATACAACTCCATTTGAATGATAATAATTTGGTTGTAATAAGTAGTCTTTATATGTACGCTTATGTACAGTCAGATGACCACATGATTGTTTCCATAATTCCATGGTTTCTATTTTCAGTGCATTTTTGTTTCTAGTTGCTTTAGGTAAGCTCATCCCAAAAAACAAAGATATATATGCAGATACATATCTAAAGAGGTGATTCTTATTTACATCTCTAGTTTTGTTAGACCTTAACTTCAAGTTCTGTTGGATCTAAATCTGAATTCACAGCATAAAGAGTAATATTAAATAATTAAATCTTAGAAGTTTTATCCATGTTAAAGTTTATTCTAAGTACTAATTATGATTCTCTTTCGAAAGCACCTCTGGATCTGCAATTAGCACCCTCAACAAAATGAAGTGCTTAATTCTATCAGATTCACTGTCTTCTAGTTGAATTTAAGTTAAGAGAAATGAAAAATATACAAAGTGCTACATGCACTTCTATATTAGTTTGATTATATAATCTTTTTCAAAAAAATTTGTAATGTTGCTTTCATCAGCAAAGACTTTAGCAGTCCTGCCAAAACCCATTTTAGAGTCACTGAACGTTCCTACATCATAATTTTTAATATAAAGTCATACTAAGACAGTCAAATATGGCCTAGGACAGGTTGCTTGACGAATCAAATGTTGAGTAATTTTCGGGATGCATTAGATCAATCCATATTTTTCTATTGCTTAATAAACAAAAAAGATCCTATGCTATCCTAGTCACTTTGTCTAAAGTACATCACTCAATCAGGGTAATTTTATTTACGTATATTGCACAATCAGCACCAATGAAGATTTTTCTAAGTTTCATAGAGTTCTCAGAATCATCAGATATGAACATGTATATCATCAAAACAATTCTATTGTATAAGGTAGATAATATTATATGTACAAGGGAACAAGCATGTTGCTTCAAACATGTGTATATGACGGCAAAATAATCACAGATATTGAGAAAGCGGACAACCAAATGAAGGAGATGCATGAACCTTCAGTTAGCACAAAGCAACTTCACCTCTCCTCTCTGCGTGTGTGAAAAGAGAGAGAGAGAGAGGCATCCAATATTCCAGTATTCAAGGCCTATTACAGTCTGTGAGAGGGATAATAATCAATTATGTTAAAGAGCAAGTGATCTGATTGAATATTTTCAGTCCCAAAAATGCAGCCTTTAAACTTTTATGAAGTATGAAATAATGAGCAAAGGCAGATATTTGAAACAATAAAATATTAAATAAAGAAAAGGAACCACTGAACATAAAATAAACAGCATAAAGTCAATATAAAGACGGGTCTTCAAGAAGCTTTTGATTGTTGGTACCAACATCAAGCATAACTAGAAGTATCTATCATAGATGAACGCAGCTAGATTGGTATAGAAGAAAGCAGAATGAAACGGTAAAAAGTTAGTCCAAAACTGGATATATAATATAAGATAATAAATATCATAATTACTAGTATCTTTGAGATCAGGTGGACGAGAGACTACTGTCAGTTCTTCACACATCTAACCTTCTATCTCACATATATGCACTTTCATCAATATAACATCCACATTGATGAAAAATAGCCAATAGAAATATGTTTTGCGAAGCATGAAAACATATCAACATAACCCACATATAAGCAAGCATACGTAACCTTCTCTACGTATGATACGTGCAATCACAACGTGCTATGATCCATGTAAGAATTTATGTATTATTGATTGATGTCTTGATTGATAGATTACAAGATTCATTAATTACAATTCCTATACAATCTATATATAGAAGAAAATGTGGTAGTAGGTGTAGTGGAGGTGATAGTGGGTTAGGTGAAGTGGAGTGTGTAGTGGAGTAGAGGTAGGTGAAGTGGAGTGTGTAGTGGAGTAGAGGTAGGTGAAGTGGAGTGTGTAGTGGAGTAGAGGTAGGTGAAGTGGAGTGTGTAGTGGAGTAGAGGTAGGTGAAGTGGAGTGTGTAGTGGAGTAGAGGTAGGTGAAGTGGAGTGTGTAGTGGAGTAGAGGTAGGTGAAGTGGAGTGTGTAGTGGAGTAGAGGTAGGTGAAGTGGAGTGTGTAGTGGAGTAGAGGTAGGTGAAGTGGAGTGTGTAGTGGAGTAGAGGTAGGTGAAGTGGAGTGTGTAGTGGAGTAGAGGTAGGTGAAGTGGAGTGTGTAGTGGAGTAGAGGTAGGTGAAGTGGAGTGTGTAGTGGAGTAGAGGTAGGTGAAGTGGAGTGTGTAGTGGAGTAGAGGTAGGTGAAGTGGAGTGTGTAGTGGAGTAGAGGTAGGTGAAGTGGAGTGTGTAGTGGAGTAGAGGTAGGTGAAGTGGAGTGTGTAGTGGAGTAGAGGTAGGTGAAGTGGAGTGTGTAGTGGAGTAGAGGTAGGTGAAGTGGAGTGTGTAGTGGAGTAGAGGTAGGTGAAGTGGAGTGTGTAGTGGAGTAGAGGTAGGTGAAGTGGAGTGTGTAGTGGAGTAGAGGTAGGTGAAGTGGAGTGTGTAGTGGAGTAGAGGTAGGTGAAGTGGAGTGTGTAGTGGAGTAGAGGTAGGTGAAGTGGAGTGTGTAGTGGAGTAGAGGTAGGTGAAGTGGAGTGTGTAGTGGAGTAGAGGTAGGTGAAGTGGAGTGTGTAGTGGAGTAGAGGTAGGTGAAGTGGAGTGTGTAGTGGAGTAGAGGTAGGTGAAGTGGAGTGTGTAGTGGAGTAGAGGTAGGTGAAGTGGAGTGTGTAGTGGAGTAGAGGTAGGTGAAGTGGAGTGTGTAGTGGAGTAGAGGTAGGTGAAGTGGAGTGTGTAGTGGAGTAGAGGTAGGTGAAGTGGAGTGTGTAGTGGAGTAGAGGTAGGTGAAGTGGAGTGTGTAGTGGAGTAGAGGTAGGTGAAGTGGAGTGTGTAGTGGAGTAGAGGTAGGTGAAGTGGAGTGTGTAGTGGAGTAGAGGTAGGTGAAGTGGAGTGTGTAGTGGAGTAGAGGTAGGTGAAGTGGAGTGTGTAGTGGAGTAGAGGTAGGTGAAGTGGAGTGTGTAGTGGAGTAGAGGTAGGTGAAGTGGAGTGTGTAGTGGAGTAGAGGTAGGTGAAGTGGAGTGTGTAGTGGAGTAGAGGTAGGTGAAGTGGAGTGTGTAGTGGAGTAGAGGTAGGTGAAGTGGAGTGTGTAGTGGAGTAGAGGTAGGTGAAGTGGAGTGTGTAGTGGAGTAGAGGTAGGTGAAGTGGAGTGTGTAGTGGAGTAGAGGTAGGTGAAGTGGAGTGTGTAGTGGAGTAGAGGTAGGTGAAGTGGAGTGTGTAGTGGAGTAGAGGTAGGTGAAGTGGAGTGTGTAGTGGAGTAGAGGTAGGTGAAGTGGAGTGTGTAGTGGAGTAGAGGTAGGTGAAGTGGAGTGTGTAGTGGAGTAGAGGTAGGTGAAGTGGAGTGTGTAGTGGAGTAGAGGTAGGTGAAGTGGAGTGTGTAGTGGAGTAGAGGTAGGTGAAGTGGAGTGTGTAGTGGAGTAGAGGTAGGTGAAGTGGAGTGTGTAGTGGAGTAGAGGTAGGTGAAGTGGAGTGTGTAGTGGAGTAGAGGTAGGTGAAGTGGAGTGTGTAGTGGAGTAGAGGTAGGTGAAGTGGAGTGTGTAGTGGAGTAGAGGTAGGTGAAGTGGAGTGTGTAGTGGAGTAGAGGTAGGTGAAGTGGAGTGTGTAGTGGAGTAGAGGTAGGTGAAGTGGAGTGTGTAGTGGAGTAGAGGTAGGTGAAGTGGAGTGTGTAGTGGAGTAGAGGTAGGTGAAGTGGAGTGTGTAGTGGAGTAGAGGTAGGTGAAGTGGAGTGTGTAGTGGAGTAGAGGTAGGTGAAGTGGAGTGTGTAGTGGAGTAGAGGTAGGTGAAGTGGAGTGTGTAGTGGAGTAGAGGTAGGTGAAGTGGAGTGTGTAGTGGAGTAGAGGTAGGTGAAGTGGAGTGTGTAGTGGAGTAGAGGTAGGTGAAGTGGAGTGTGTAGTGGAGTAGAGGTAGGTGAAGTGGAGTGTGTAGTGGAGTAGAGGTAGGTGAAGTGGAGTGTGTAGTGGAGTAGAGGTAGGTGAAGTGGAGTGTGTAGTGGAGTAGAGGTAGGTGAAGTGGAGTGTGTAGTGGAGTAGAGGTAGGTGAAGTGGAGTGTGTAGTGGAGTAGAGGTAGGTGAAGTGGAGTGTGTAGTGGAGTAGAGGTAGGTGAAGTGGAGTGTGTAGTGGAGTAGAGGTAGGTGAAGTGGAGTGTGTAGTGGAGTAGAGGTAGGTGAAGTGGAGTGTGTAGTGGAGTAGAGGTAGGTGAAGTGGAGTGTGTAGTGGAGTAGAGGTAGGTGAAGTGGAGTGTGTAGTGGAGTAGAGGTAGGTGAAGTGGAGTGTGTAGTGGAGTAGAGGTAGGTGAAGTGGAGTGTGTAGTGGAGTAGAGGTAGGTGAAGTGGAGTGTGTAGTGGAGTAGAGGTAGGTGAAGTGGAGTGTGTAGTGGAGTAGAGGTAGGTGAAGTGGAGTGTGTAGTGGAGTAGAGGTAGGTGAAGTGGAGTGTGTAGTGGAGTAGAGGTAGGTGAAGTGGAGTGTGTAGTGGAGTAGAGGTAGGTGAAGTGGAGTGTGTAGTGGAGTAGAGGTAGGTGAAGTGGAGTGTGTAGTGGAGTAGAGGTAGGTGAAGTGGAGTGTGTAGTGGAGTAGAGGTAGGTGAAGTGGAGTGTGTAGTGGAGTAGAGGTAGGTGAAGTGGAGTGTGTAGTGGAGTAGAGGTAGGTGAAGTGGAGTGTGTAGTGGAGTAGAGGTAGGTGAAGTGGAGTGTGTAGTGGAGTAGAGGTAGGTGAAGTGGAGTGTGTAGTGGAGTAGAGGTAGGTGAAGTGGAGTGTGTAGTGGAGTAGAGGTAGGTGAAGTGGAGTGTGTAGTGGAGTAGAGGTAGGTGAAGTGGAGTGTGTAGTGGAGTAGAGGTAGGTGAAGTGGAGTGTGTAGTGGAGTAGAGGTAGGTGAAGTGGAGTGTGTAGTGGAGTAGAGGTAGGTGAAGTGGAGTGTGTAGTGGAGTAGAGGTAGGTGAAGTGGAGTGTGTAGTGGAGTAGAGGTAGGTGAAGTGGAGTGTGTAGTGGAGTAGAGGTAGGTGAAGTGGAGTGTGTAGTGGAGTAGAGGTAGGTGAAGTGGAGTGTGTAGTGGAGTAGAGGTAGGTGAAGTGGAGTGTGTAGTGGAGTAGAGGTAGGTGAAGTGGAGTGTGTAGTGGAGTAGAGGTAGGTGAAGTGGAGTGTGTAGTGGAGTAGAGGTAGGTGAAGTGGAGTGTGTAGTGGAGTAGAGGTAGGTGAAGTGGAGTGTGTAGTGGAGTAGAGGTAGGTGAAGTGGAGTGTGTAGTGGAGTAGAGGTAGGTGAAGTGGAGTGTGTAGTGGAGTAGAGGTAGGTGAAGTGGAGTGTGTAGTGGAGTAGAGGTAGGTGAAGTG